AATTTCACTCATAACACTTTTTTCTTGTGTTCGGTGTTCATCTCTCAGTTGTTTTCCTCCTTTACGTGCTTTTTTCATCACATTTTCAAGTTCATCCCTAGGCATTTTATTTAACCAACTAATCATTTGAAGTCTGTTGCGTTTTAATAACTGAACTGAGGAATGATGATGCATTGAAGCACTTGGTCGACGTCGCTGGCTGCTATCCAGATCTCCAAAATGATGTTCGCAAGCTAAATTTGTCACATGGGCAAAACCTGTTCTTTGGAGGTTGTCTTTTGATGGTTGAACACCAAATTGTCCATCAGGGAGAAAGTCCACAAGCTGTTTATCAACAGTTTTCTTCATGGAAGAGGCCACTAATTTAACTGTATTCAGTAATATTTCTCGGCATGGCAAACCGTTCTCTGGCTCGATGATTACAGACAGTTTTGCTCTTAACAGTTGACGGTATGGAAAATCACTAATGTCATGGGGGTCTTCATTACTCCAGTGGGAATCAAGGTGCCATATGTTTGCCGGGTCATCTTGACAAATTTCCAGGAAGTTTCTGATGTCATTTATTTCAGGATACAGTTCAACATATGGGACTTTGTTGCTTGTTAAAAGTTTCCAGAAGGGGCCAGTTATTCTCAGATAAAATAAACCTAGACACTGTATTAGAGTCATGATAATGTCAGATTTTAGATCTGCAAGAACAGATTTTAGCTTAAGATTTGGGGTTTTCACCGTTTCAAGGACTTTAATGAAGTCATCACGGTGCACAAAAATTTCAGCGGCTGTCTGAAACAAAGCGTTAAAGCGGTTATCTTTATAATTTCCTATCACAGACTTTAACCCATTTGCTGCACAGTGTGCTTCCCATAGGTCACGTACGCCATGATGGTCACCAGCTGGACCAAATACCTCAGATACTGTTCGTATAGTACGTTCAACCACTGTGCCTTTAGTGTTCCAGAACTTAAAGACAGACAAACTATCACGACCAAGTGGACCATGATCAGAGGCGATACCTGATTCATGCTCTTTCAAATTCATTCCAATGTACCGATGAAACCCTAAAAGTACATGCGCCATGCAATGAAAGTGCAGAACTTCTGGATGTTGTGTCTCATCACAAACTTTCAAAACTTCATCACGCCAATTATCCAGAAGTCTGTCAGCTTTTTTTTCATTACTAGCGCGATCACTCATTGTGAAGGCTAATTTTTCTAAGGAGGTTTTCACAAAACTGTCTGTACTTACACCTTTGTTCATATTTGCATTAACATTTGCCAATCCATTCATATGATTTTTGGTTACGTTATTAATTGTCTCTGCAGTTTCATGGGCAACTCTGTTGAAACCTAGGCTAAGGACATCTCCCGATGAGAGCGTAATTGTTGTGTCTAGGATTTTCTGTTTCTTTCGTGTTGTTCCATCTCTATTAAGTCCCCAATTTTCTGTTTCAGATAACTGTTTGGAAATAAAGGCTTTGGCTAGGTAGTGACCTTCGTCGACAATTGTTTGAACTGTGGTGCTGGAAGGCAAATCTGTTTTACGTAGATCTTTACCAAAGAGATGCTTAGAAACTGTCTTAATAACATTTGGTACTTTTTCAACCGCAACCTCAAGTCCACTTAGTTCAATTATGCACATACGCAAGTTATCACTGAATGTACCATCAACATTTTTTGTTTCACATGCTTGTTGGTTGATCTGCTCTTTCAGTATGTCATTGTTTATTTCAAGTTCACGGACTTTTGCTTCACTTTCACTTACTTTAGATCTCAATGTTTTGACAAGGTCACTTTCTTTTAAGTCACTTTTCAGTTTTTGTGCAAGTTAACAATGGCCAACTTCTTAAAGGTGTGGTTATGTTCGAAAACTTGATTGTTAAAATTTTTTTCGGAGCACTAATCTGTAGAAATTATGTGAAGATTTGTATTTAATGTTTTATTGATACTTTGATTTCCGTAAAATAAAAAGGCTGATTATACAAAATTAAATGTCTCTAACATTCTGGCTTGTGGGCAATCGCTAAACGAAAATTATAGACGATGACCAGCCTGACTCATTGCCAATATGGCAAGTGGCACTGCTCTATCTGCCCTGAATATTGTTACCAATTAAACATACTCACTACATACATGTAAATATTGTGTTTGCTATTGGTATACATTTATGAAAAGTAGATTTGTAGTAGAATTGTTTTATTTGAGAGGTGTTTCTTATTTCCTTTCTGGTTTATCCCTAGCTTATTATTCTCCAGATGACGCCTAATATATCTCCCTACTTCTCCCTAAAGTCTCGAATATATCCGAATTATGTAGAGACTGTCCACAGTGACTCCCTGTCTATAGTGACCTTGTTTCTTTTCTCCCATCGAAGGTCACTGTAAACAGTTTTTACTGTACAACTACAGAAACGTAGGACACAGACACTTGGGGTGTGGAGCTCAAAACAAATTTAAAATCCAAATAAAATGCATATTTGTCAATCATAGCACATGTATTTATAATATGTATAAAAAAAGGCTTAATATAAGCTGTTTTGAAAAAATTTCATATTTCAACGTCTGTAATATTATTATCCCCCGCCGATGGAATCGGGAGGGGGATATAGTTTTGGCGTTGTCCGTCCGTTCGTCCGTCCGTCCGTCCATCCTTCCGTCCGAATTTCGTTTCCGGAGTAGTTCTCTGCAACTAATGGCTGGAATTCAACGAAACTTTATGGGAATGTTGATCAGCATGTGAAGTTGTGCACCTAGGTATTTTCTTCTGGATATTTTTAGTATTTTTAGAGTTATTGCCCTTGACTTAGTAAACGTCCGAATTTCGTTTCCGGAGTAGTTCTCTGCAACTAATGGCTGGAATTCAACGAAACTTTATGGGAATGTTGATCAGCATGTGAAGTTGTGCACCTAGGTATTTTTGTCTGGATATTTTTAGTATTTTTAGAGTAATTGCCCTTGACTTAGTAAAACGTCCGAATTTCGTTTCCGGAGTAGTTCTCTGCAACTAATGGCTGGAATTCAACGAAACTTTATGGGAATGTTGATCAGCATGTGAAGTTGTGCACCTGGGTATTTTCGTCTGGATATTTTTAGTATTTTTAGAGTTATTGCCCTTGACTTAGTAAAAATTTTTAATTTTCAACTCGTGTCGCATGTAACTCAAGAAGTATTTGACATAGAGTCATAGAACTTTACAGGAATGTTGATCAGTATGTGTAGTTGTGCACCTGGGTATTTTCGTCCGGATATTTTTACTATTTTTAGAGTTATGGCCCTTGACTTAGTAAAATTTTGCAATTTTCAACTTGTGTCGCAAGTAACTCAAAAAGTATTTGACCTAAAGTCATGATACTTTACAGGAATGTTGATCAGCATGTGTAGTTGTGCACCTGGGTATTTTCGTCTGGATTTATTTAGTATTTTTAGAGTTATTGCCCTTGACTTAGAAAATGTTTGCAATTTTCAACATGTGTCGCATGTAACTCAAAAAGGATTTGACATAGAGTCATTAAACCTTATTGGAAAGTTGCTCAGCATATTTAGTTTGTTCCTGGGGTTTCGCTTGTGGATTTACCCAGTATTTGTAAAGTTATTACCCTTGACTTAGTAAAAACTGTTTCATTATGTTGTTATTTGATCCTTGAGTGCTTGAGTTAGAATCAACAACTTTACAGGAATAATGATCAACATCACTAAATTACAGGAATAATGATTCACCTCACTGTGAAGCTATGAACCTGGGACTTTGCATGTGGATTTTTTTCAGTTTTGTTAGAGTTATTTCCCTTGAATTACAGTAGTTTAAATTTGCAATTTTCAACTTGGGGTTTGCTTGGGGATATATTCAGTATTTGTAAAGTTATTGCCCTTTACTTAGTAAAAAGATTTTTAGTTTTCAAAAAATATTTGACCTAGAGTCATAAGATTGACAGAAAAGTGGCGCGGTGGGGGCACCTGTGTCCTATGGACACATTTCTAGTTTTTATTAAAGAAGAATTAAAATGATTTGTTACAATAACATTTAAAAATATTTGAAAATTGTGAGATCCCTTCTTGATGCCTTGAAAATGGCAATAAAGTCTGGAGATTAAGATGTTTTTACATCTAGGTGAGCTATTGTGATCCCCCACCGTCCGTCGTCATGCATCGTCAGCAATTTCTTTAAACAACATCTCCTCAGAAACAAATGACTGCACAGCAACCAAACTTTATAGGAATGATCCTAGGGTGGTCCCCTGCAAAAGTTGATCAAATGGCGCCGGTCTGTTGCATAAGTAGGTCACAGGGCCAGAAAAGGAGTTTCAAAAATGCAAAATTAAAAAATCTTGTCTGAAAGTAGAAGGCCTAGAGCTTTGATATTTGGTATATGATATAACCTATAGGTCCTCTACCAAAATTGTTCAAATTTTAGCCCTGGGGTCAAAATTGGCCCCACTCCAGGGGGTCATAGATTTACCTTATATGTATATAGTGAAAACTTCATCTTGTTTGAAGGTACAAGGCTTCAAGTTCAAAGAATATTACAGTTTATGCCATGATTAATATATAAATAAAGCCTTATGTCTTCAGTTGTTGTGTTAATAATAACCAGTACTCGGCGGGGGATATAAATTCAACGAATTTGCTTGTTATTTTTGTCATATTTTTGTCATATAGAAACAAGCTTAAATTTGTTCAACTATAGAAAATGCCCATTCAATCAGTACAGACCAAGAACTATCTGCACATCAGTGTTGTCTTATCATGGACAGCACTGTTCTTTTTTTGGTCAAAACTAAATATTTTGAAATTTTCCTTTAAGATCAATGGGCAAGTCTGTTAAAGATATTTAGCTTTGTAAAGGTTAAATATTTTTGATGAAATAAATGCTCCGGTCATCAGTTAACTTATATTGAAAATATTTGTACACATATTGTGTAATTATTCTTTTCAAACTATTTGAAATGTGTGGATATTTTTTGGGTCTTTTTCAACTAAGTCATTTTCATACATTGTTTATTTTCAGACACAGGTGGAAGCAAGGAACCTGCTGCACCAGGAACAGGGTATGTGTTACAATAATCAAGGCAACCTTTGCTACACCATAGAATATATACCATAGTGCAAGAATGTATTTAGCTAAGCTGTTTTTTAGCACAGTTTCCTGATAAACAAATATTGAAGTTTAGAAATTGTGGTTAAACACTTAAACTGCTGAAATAGTGTATTGGATTTACCTTTCTCTTAATTTTAAACAGTCCATTGGAGTTTAAGGGATTTCAATTTAAATATTAAAAAACCCAATTTATATAAGCTAATAATTTATGCAGTAGTTTTCCTGATTTTTTTCATTAAATGAATTAAACTTAGTGACCTGTATTATTATTTGTAAGATTGTTCAGCAATAATGACTTTTTAGTCTGGATTGGTTTTACTATGGGAGAAAATTTTTTGTGTTTAAAATTACCTGTTACAAAAAAAAATATTCGAAATGTTCTTTTTGTCACCTTATAGACCTGAAGAGGCATTGCCACCACCTACAGATGGAACTGAGAATGTAAGTTGAAATTTAATTACCCAACAACAAAAGTTAAAGTGAACTAAATGGCTAAACACTTATCAGTATAGAAAATATTTTTAGAGAATCATAAGTAAAGCAGGCTGGGTGATTAAGATCATTGACTTGTAATGTCTTTGGTGTTTCCAGAATTTATTTTAGTTTGATTGTATAGCAAGCTATAAGCGTGTAAACACACTTTCGAATTTGTTCCTGGAACCAACCAGTACTGAGCAATGAGTGTACAGTTTCTTGCTCAATGAAACAACAATTTGCCTTTGACAGGGTTTGAACCCATGGGACTAGCAATAATTGGATTGATATCTTTGGCTCACTAATATGTAATTTTGAACCTTTATGATCTGGCAGGCTTCGTAGATACACCTTGTAAGTTGTAACATTGTAGTATTTGAAACAAAAATCGTTATTTTCAAAGTTTTTTTAAATTAAAAAAGAGTAGTTAAAAAAATACAACAATGCTTTATCTGTTTTAAATGTATCGTTTGTTTGTTTTAAACAGACTGAGAACAATGAGCCACAAGCTGGCAATGATGATGATGATGATTCAGATGATGAAGACAATGTACAGGTCACTATAGGTGATATCACAGCATTTCCTGTAGCTAGGTATGTATTTATGTGACATTATAGCCTTCCCTGCTGTGTTAAAATCAGTGTTAAAGTAAAAAAAAAAACACCAAAAAGCAACAACAACAAAAACAAACAAAAAGCATTTCCATGTAGCAAGGTATGTCACAATGTACATGTTTCTATTGAAGTGACATCACAGTTTTTTCCTAAAGCAAAGTATGTGACAGTTTGGCAAGTGCATCCGGGTTGTGAAAATTCACTTTTTAATTATTTTCTAATAAGAGTTATTTTGTCAAATGTGGTCTGCAGTCACCTTAAAATATATATTCAAAACACTTTCTGTATACCAATTAATGTTTAACAAGTGCAATTTTAACAACTAGGTTGTGTCCTCTCCACTTCTTGTTTGGTGCCCTGCTGAGCTCCTTGCCAATGGTCCTGCTGGTTTATGTTTGGGGGATGCTGCGTTCAATGAATGCCACCTTTCCTTGTTGATCTTTGTTTTATATTTTACCTCAATTTGATTAGTTTTCAGCTTTGACCTACAGCTGGCTGTTTTACAGAAGTTTGACTGTACATTTAATCAGTTCCAAGTTGAAAAACTGGGAACATCTAAAATAGAAAGATGAAGGGATAATGAATGATTGAAGAACATGTCTATTATATGTGTTTCAGCACAGGAAGTAATCTTTTCAAGCCAGGTGGGACCTACCAGAAACAGCCAGTTACTGCTGGTAATTATTGATCATCATTCATTTGTAGAGATGTAATTCATTATAATAACTGTGATTAGTATACTTTACAAAATAATGAAACAAAGACACATTTGGATGAGTCATTATTCAAGTTGAAATAAAAGTAAATGATTTAAAATTTATCCTGAAAATGAGGAATGGATTTATCCAGATTGAAAATGTGGAGAAGTTCATTTTAGATATTTAGCATTGTCTGTGTTAATTACGATTAAGTTTAAACATATTTATTATAACGCGATTGTGTGAAACAAGTTCATGCAACTGATATTAATCACTTTCAAGTCTGATTCCTGGAACTAACCAGTACTAATGTCATATGAGAAATCATTGATTTTGAACTGCGTAGGGCTTGAACCCATGATTTCCAGGTTGATAGGCAGACACATTAACCACTACGCCACTGCTTCCCTATGATTTAAAAATGAAACAAAAAACATACAGTTTTGAATACTCATACAGCTTGTGATATCAGTTATCTATGAAACAGACTATATAATTTGTGATGTCATGTATCTATGAAACAACTATATTATATGTGATGTCAAGTATCTATGAAACAGGGTATATTATATGTGATGTCAAGTATCTATGAAACAGGCTATATTATATGTGATGTCAAGTATCTATGAAACAGGCTATATTATATGTGATGTCAAGTATCTATGAAACAGGCTATATTATATGTGATGTCAAGTATCTATGAAACAGGCTATATTATATGTGATGTCAAGTATCTATGAAACAGGCTATAATATATGTGATGTCAAGTATCTATGAAACAGACTATATTATATGTGATGTCAAGTATCTATGAAACAGGCTATAATATATGTGATGTCGTGTATCTATGAAACAGACTATATTATATGTGATGCCATGTATCTATGAAACAGACTATATAAAACGACAGGTTCATCACAGAAAGGAGCAGTAGGGACACAGGCAACAAAAGGGGTTGATGTGGATGGGGAAGGCACCGTAAATGGGATACCACTATATGAGTTCAGCCTAGATACACTGAGAGACGAGGACAAACCATGGAGAAAACCAGGTAAATCTAGATAATACTGGTGTTTATGAGGTCTTTTAATAATTGTTACAAACATTGGGCTATAAAAGGTATATGATCAGGCTCCACTAAAGAATGACAGAAGTGGAGGCATATGTATATGTGTTTTTGATATAACATTTGAAAGTTAACAAAATTTGTAAAGTTGTTAGGAGGTAGGGGTCAGTTTTAATTTTACACCTCTTGTTGCAACATTTAAGTGTATAGGTCTGAATATGAGCAGATTTTCCATAAGTATTTCAATTATTGATACATACAATAGAAATGTATGATATGGATATTCTTACAAAAGTATTGCTTTAAAAAAAAAGGAAAGACAGTTGACTTATATATTGTTTAAAAAAGGGGAAACACTTGTATATTATTTTGTTTGTTTGTTTGACCAGGTGCTGATATCACAGACTATTTTAATTATGGTTTTAACGAGGACACCTGGAGGAAATATTGTCAGAAACAGAATAAAATACGAGGGGAGAATGGTGTCACCATTCCTAAAGCATTTGTGAGTATAACAGAGATTTATTTAACAAATAAAACATGGGCTTGAGGGCAATATGCAAGTTTAGGACTGGTTGGTCAGACTGAGGAAGGTATATGGCCCGAAGTGCAGCTGAGGGCCATATTCCTTCCGAGGTCTGACCAACCAGTCCGTAAAATTGCATTTTGCCCGAAAGGCAATGTTTAATTTGTTATATTATACCGAATCTAAATCCTTTCATGCTGTCATTTTACTATTATTTGCTTTCAAATAAAAAATTTTACTTGTTCAGTGTGTGAAATATCTCAAACCCTAGTCGGATTTTATTTTATTATTTTCAAGCGATGCAGCAAAAAATCATGCTTTTCTTTTAATATTCCATTTTTAGCTCGACTATTCGTAGAATAATCGAGCTAATGCAGTCACCCATTTGTCGGCGTCGGCGCCGGCGTCGGCGTCCCTGTGGTTAAGTTTTTGTATGTAAGCTGGTATCTCCATAACTACTGAAGGGAATGGATTGAAACTTCACACACTTGTTCTCTGTGATTATCTAAGATGATTGGCACAAGTCCCATAACTCTGATTTGCTTTTTTACATAATTATGCCCCTTTTTCGACTTAGAAATTCTTGGTTAAGTTTTTGTATGTAAGCTGGTGTCTCCATAACTACTGAAGGGAATGGATTGAAACTTCACACACTTGTTCTCTGTGATTATCTAAGATGATTGGCACAAGTCCCATAACTCTGATTTGCTTTTTTACATAATTATGCCCCTTGTTCGACTTAGAAATTCTTGGTTAAGTTTTTGCGTGTAAGCTGGTATCTCCATAACTACTGAAGGGAATGGATTGAAACTTCACACACTTGTTCTCTGTGATTATCTAAGATGATTGGCACAAGTCCCATAACTCTTATTTGCTTTTTTACATAATTATGCCCCTTTTTCGACTTAGAAATTCTTGGTTAAGTTTTTGTATGTAAGCTGGTATCTCCATAACTACTGAAGGGAATGGATTGAAACTTCACACACTTGTTCTCTGTGATTATCTAAGATGATTGGCACAAGTCCCATAACTCTGATTTGCTTTTTTACATAATTATGCCCCTTTTTCGACTTAGAAATTCTTGGTTAAGTTTTTGTATGTAAGCTGGTATCTCCATAACTACTGAAGGGAATGGATTGAAACTTCAACGATTTTCTCTGTGATTATCTAAGATGATTGGCACAAGTCCCATAACTCTGATTTGCTTTTTTACATAATTATGCCCCTTTTTCGACTTAGAAATTCGTGGTTAAGTTTTTGTATGTAAGCTGGTATCTCCATAACTACTGAAGGGAATGGATTGAAACTTCACACACTTGTTCTCTGTGATTATCTAAGATGATTGGCACAAGTCCCATAACTCTTATTTGCTTTTTTACATAATTATGCCCCTTGTTCGACTTAGAAATTCTTGGTTAAGTTTTTGCGTGTAAGCTGGTATCTCCATAACTACTGAAGGGAATGGATTGAAACTTCACACACTTGGTCTCTGTGATTATCTAAGATGATTGGCACAAGTCCCATAACTCTGATTTGCTTTTTTACATAATTATGCCCCTTGTTCGACTTAGAAATTCTTGGTTAAGTTTTTGCGTGTAAGCTGGTATCTCCATAACTACTGAAGGGAATGGATTGAAACTTCACACACTTGGTCTCTGTGATTATCTAAGATGATTGGCACAAGTCCCATAACTCTTATTTGCTTTTTTACATAATTATGCCCCTTTTTCGACTTAGAAATTCTTGGTTAAGTTTTTGTATGTAAGCTGGTATCTCCATAACTACTGAAGGGAATGGATTGAAACTTCACACACTTGTTCTCTGTGATTATCTAAGATGATTGGCACAAGTCCCATAACTCTGATTTGCTTTTTTACATAATTATGCCCCTTTTTTCGACTTAGAAATTCTTGGTTAAGTTTTTGTATGTAAGCTGGTATCTCCATAACTACTGAAGGGAATGGATTGAAACTTCAAACACTTGTTCTCTGTGATTTTCTAAGATGATTAGCACAAGTCCCATAACTCTGATTTGCTGTTTTACATAATTATGCCCCTTTTTCGACTTAGAAATTCGTGGTTGTTAAATTTTGTATGTAAGCTGGTATCTCCATAACTACTGAAGGGAATGGATTGAAACTTCACACACTTGTTCTCTGTGATTATCTAAGATGATTGGCACAAGTCCCATAACTCTGATTTGCTTTTTTACATAATTATGCCCCTTTTTCGACTTAGAAATTCTTGGTTAAGTTTTTGCGTGTAAGCTGGTATCTCCATAACTACTGAAGGGAATGGATTGAAACTTCACACACTTGGTCTCTGTGATTATCTAAGATGATTGGCACAAGTCCCATAACTCTGATTTGCTTTTTTACATAATTATGCCCCTTGTTCGACTTAGAAATTCTTGGTTAAGTTTTTGCGTGTAAGCTGGTATCTCCATAACTACTGAAGGGAATGGATTGAAACTTCACACACTTGGTCTCTGTGATTATCTAAGATGATTGGCACAAGTCCCATAACTCTGATTGCTTTTTTGCATAATTATGCCACTTTTTTATCTTAGAAATTCTTGGTTAAGTTTTTGCGTGTAAGCTGGTATCTCCATAACTACTGAAGGGAATGGATTGAAACTTCACAGACTTGTTCTCTGTGATTGTATTGAAACTTGAAGGGTTTGTACCTTTTCGTACAATTTTATTTATTCATATAGGTAAGCATTATTATACTCAATGAAACACCCTTGTGACAAATTTTCGAATAGTCGAGCGTTACTGTCCTCCGACAGTTCTTGTTGTTAATCAAATTAAATAGGCAAAAAACCCGGACTTTAAGAATTTCACAATCTGTATAAAAAAAAATCTATAATTAAATTAAAGACAAATCATGACTTTTGATCAACATGTAATAAATTTAAAGTCCCCGGTCTGTATGCGGTTAATGGACCGGATGACGTTATATGAAATATAGAAGAGCATATGCAAATGAGGTATAATATGATAATATGTAATTATTGTTATTGTATAGAGTCTGTGACATTTGAGCAGTGTTAGGTACTTCACTATGTTACCAGTCTGACATGTTTTGACACCTTGCTAATGTTATCAGATAATTCTGATGGCTACTTGCTGATTTTGATGTTGAAAATGATACTGAAATAATCTAAGTTTACAATGGACTAATTCAAGAGAGAAAACATAAATGTAACTGATATCTTTTACCCCATTTAATGCAGAGTCCATTTTTGGGAACCTAGGCATAGCACTTTCATTCAAGCAAAATTACTATTTCCTGGGTGACTTTACAAGTAATCACTTAAATGCAGATTGAGGAAGCCAAAAGAGAATCACATCTCATTTTGGACTCAAACCCATAACCTTAAGATTAAGGTTGAGTGTTCTACCTCTACATTAGGCTTCTGCAAGGGGATATTTGTTCATGTGGATAATAATAGCATTAATTTTAGATAATTGTTGCTTTTATTCTTGTGTATAGATTTTGATTCAATACTTTTATTGCATACCTTTCATATTTGTTACAGGGTAATGTTGGGTTTGGAACAACAATCAAAGTGGAATCATCAGACTCTCATTCTGGTTTGTGTAATATTGTATTCTCCATCAGAGAAGTGTAAACAAAACAACTTTTAATTGAATTAATTTTGATAAAAGAAGCACAAGTTTCTATGAGACAAATATGTTTAGTGTCTGGTATACTTTAGGTGTTCAGGATTAAGTTCCCCTACACTGTATTTTTTCTTTTGATAACTAACAATAAATGCTAATTATCCTTTTTTTTTTCTTGCATATGATAAGCTCAGATATTTTTCTTAAACATGTATATGCTTGGTAATAAATAAGAAATATGAATGCTAAGTATTTGTTATTTTTTTTTTTTTCATCAGCTCCAGTCCATCATTTTACAAAAAGCTACACACCCGCTGTACAGCAGCCTACGGCTATTGCGGTACTTGGTTCAACCACAGCTTCACGACGGCCAATAGAAGAAACAATGGATGACGTTCAACAGATAGGAACTCTTAACTCTGACGCGTAAGTAATAACATATCAAAGGAAATTTTTGTTATTATCAGATTCAAAATCTCAGATTCTATTTGCTTCCATGGCTTGCTAACTTGGTATTTTTTGCCTTTCAATCCTTTTGATTTAGTATTATTGAGCACATAATGAATTACTTGGCTAGTTCACAGAATTTTGATGGTTACACAGTAGCCACAGTTGTGCCTGATGTTATGTTAAGATTGGTATCTGGGTTGTTCCTCCGATGATAACCTAAAAAATTATAATTTGGCCTAAACAAGGTCTGACTACCAAACCAAACAAATCATCATTCTCTTTGAAAATTTTGACAAGGTTATTTTTCTGTCTCAAATGATGAAAAAAATACATTTAAAAATAAACAACTTTTAAGTTATTTGAAATGTAACACCTACACCATATTTTATGTACAGATACAGCACTATTCTATTATTTCAGAAATAAATCAAGTGTACCTCCAGGAATGCCACCTGTAGGTATGCCTCCCCCAGACTACAGTGTTCCACCTCCAGGGATGCCACCAATGCCACCAGGATTTAGTCCAGGTATTTTACCATTAAACTGTTGTGTAATTGCAGTGATAATGATCTGCCTATGACATTTTAAAGGTGGATGATTCTTCTCTGGCTCTTGCCTAAAATAATGTAGTAAGGGTCACCTGAAGTTTTTCTCCACCAGTAATGCTGTAAAACCTTGATGGTATTGTTGATTTTTAAAATCCAACAAAAACAAACAAAATATATATGAATATTATTTATAAGTATAAATATTTATATAGAATCGGGCCGAAATGCTCTTTTATTGACTGTTTGTAGCTCAGGTTTAGTTTTTTTAGCTCACCTGTCACAAAGTGACAGGGTGAGCTTTTATGATCGCTTTTCGTCCGGCGTCTGGTCGTCCGTAAACTTTTACTTTAAATGACATCTCCTCATAAACCACTAAGCCAATTTCATCCAAACTTCACAGGAATGTTCCTTTGGTGGTCACTTTTAAAAATTGTTCAAAGAATTTAATTCCATGCAGAACTCTGGTTGCCATGGCAACCGAAAGAAAAAACTTTAAATATCTTCTTTTAAAAAAACCCTAAGAGCTAGAGCTAAGATATTTGGCATGAAACATCTTCTAATGAGTGTTCACCAAGTTTGTTCAAATAAAAGCCCTGGGGTCAAAATTGGTCCCGCCCCAGGGGGTCTTTGATTTTCCCTATATGCATATAGTAAAAACTTAAAATACCTTCTTTTAAAGAACCCAAAGAGCTAGAGCTAAGAAATTTAGCATGAAACATCTTCTAATGAGTGTCTACCAAGTTTGTTCAAATAAAAACCCTGGGGTCAAAATTGTCCCCGCCCCAGGGGGTCATTGATTTTCCCTATATGCATATAGTAAAAACTTAAAAAAATCTTCTTTTAAAGAACTCAAAGAGCTTGAGCTAAGATCTTTAGCATGAAACATGTTCTAATGGGTGTCTACCAAGTTTGTTCAAATAAAAGTCCTAGGGTCAACATTGGCCCCGCCCCGGGGTCATTGATTTTCCTTATATGTGTAAAGGAAAAACTTAAAAAATCTTCTATGAAAAAACCCAAATAGCTAGAGTTTAGGTATTAGGCATGAAACATCTTCTAGTGAGTGTCTGCCAAGTTTGTTCCAATAAAAGCCCTTGGGTCAAAATTGGTCCCGCCCTAGGGGGTCTTTGATTTTCCCTATATGCATATAGCATAAACTTTAAAAATCTTCTTTTAAAGAACCCAAAGAGCTAGAGCTAAGATATTTAAGATGAAACATCTTCTAATGAGTGTCTACCAAGTTTGTTCAAATAAAAGCCCTGGGGTCAAAATTGGCCCCACCCCAGGGGGTCATTGATTTTCCTTATATTTGTTTAGCAAAAACTTAAAAATCTTCTTTGAAAAAACCCAAATAGCTAGAGCTTAGATATTAAGCATGAAACATCTTCTAGTAATTGTCTACAAAGTTTGTTCAAATAAAAGCCCTGGAGTCAAAATTGGCCCTGCCCCAGGGGTTTAAACTGGCCCTGCTCCGGGTGCCTTTATACAGGTGACCGACCTCAGGGCCATTATGGCCCTCTTGTTTTGTCATTTGAATCCTTTATATTAACAATGAATAGTTTTAATTTTTAAGCATGTTTATTATACAAATTTCACATAAAAAATGTTGGTATTTTAGAGCTTATGATAAGCCCACTGTAGACTGTGTCACCTTTTGTTTACAATGTAGATGTAATACATGTATATTGTCAAGAAAATAAGCGCTATCATCAGTATTTCATGTTATCTATTTCAGCTGTGCCGCCTCCAGGAATGAATGTACCTCCTCCAAATATATATGGTCATCCTCCTCCTGTCCCTCCTCGTAAGTTGATGTTGTTGTTGTTATTAGTCCCCTACCGGTTTACCGGAGGGGACTTTAGGTTTACCCTCCGTCCGTCCGTCTGTCCGTCCGTCTGTCAGTCCGTCCGTCCACAAAACTGGATCCCGCGATAACTTGAAAAGTACTGAAAATATTTTTATGAAACTTGGTATATGGATAGATGGCAGTATGGAGATTATGCACGTCTTTTTCTTTTCTTCCTTTGTTGAAAATTCTGGTTGCTATGGCAACAAATATGCTGAAAATATGGCAAATTTTACACATAAACTGGATCCAGTGTTAACGCAAAAAGTACTGGAAATATTTTTGTGAAACTTGACATATGGGTAGATGGCAGCGCTATGGCAACACATAGACTGAAAATTTGGCAAATTTTACACATAAACTGAATCCAGTGATAACTAAAAAAGTACTGGAAATATTTTTATGAAACTTAACATATGGGTAGATAGCAGTCTTGAGATTATGCATGTCTTATCTGTTCTTCCTATTTTGATAAAATATCAGTTGCCTTGGCAACAAATAGGCTTAAAACATGGCAAATATAACAATATTTTTGATTAGTCAGAAATTTTTTATGAAATTGCATCTTTAATTCAAGAGTTATCTCCTCTTTAAGAATTTTGCTTTTAAAATGTTATATTTTGGTAACAGGGATGTTTCAAATATTAACTTTAGAGTGTCCTCAGTCCGTCTGTCTGTCTGTCTGTTCATAAAAACTGTTTCCTGTGATCACTTTTAAAGAACTTTTCCAACAAATTTACTTAAAATAGAAAAAAATTGAAACATTAGTGAATGGCCAATGGCCCTTCAGAATGTTGATGGGGTTCTAACCGGTAGGGGACTTATGGATTGCTTGCAATACTATGATAATTGCTTGTTGTTGTTATCATGTAACTGCCCGCCAAAATGCCTGACAATGTGTTTTTGATGAATTTTAAGTTGAGTTATAACTTATAAGATCAGTAATCTTTATTAAATTACAGATGAAAGATAGTTTTTGTATTCTTGGGGAATGACATTTTCAAAATAATATTTGAACACAAAATTAAGAAGTTCTAAGTCATGAAATTTAAATTAACACTTTCTTTTATACATTGATTTTTCTTACAGTATTTTGTACTGAAATTAAATGTTTTTCACTATCCATATGAATGAAAAGTATTTATGAAATGTTTATATTTTCAATTTAGAAAATATTGTATCAAATTTCTTGTTTGGTGAGGCATAAATTATCTGTGACAATTTATCACCAAAATTGAGCTGGTTAGTTATCCAGAAACTGGAATGGTGGATTGTCAGCTAGGATCAATATGACCAGAACATTTGTTAAAATTAGGATAAAAAAGGAAAAGAAATAGTTTAAAATTCCTGCCATATTTATATTGTTTTAAATACATTGTTACACAGCTTGGTCACTGAAGATTGGTGGTCCTACCAGAGCACTCACTTGTGCATAAGATAATTCATGGGTCATTCATAGTGAAAATAGCTAGACATAATACATGTATTGTCATGCATCATATCAGAGTTATAGATTTAAAGCTCTTTTAACAAAAAGAAAGTACTGTAGGATAAATTGGATGTTCAGATTAAATTATATATTTGTTGTATTGTGATATTTCAGCATTTTTCCCTCCTCATCATGTACCACACCCGAACTCAACACAATATCCAGATCGGTCAACTTATAGTAATTATGATACACCAGGCTCTAGTTATTCCGATCCTAAATCAGGCTGGGACAGGTATAGTTCATAAATATGTTTAAAGTTTTAGTTGATATCTCACCTTTTTAGTAAAATGTTGTAAAGAGGCTGTTTACCAAATAACTTTATAAGATAAGATAACCTAATAAGTAAGATATTATTTTAATTGATATGTTTCATTGTATTAATCATTAAATATAAAAAAAAAGTTAAGGAAAGTTCATATGGCAAGTGTTCTATTAGAGTACAAGTAGGTCAAAGGTCAAGGTCTCTAGCCCTTAGATTATTAACGCTGTCAGCGGCAAGCTTTTGTTTCCATTTAGCAAGAAACTTTGCACTTGTTGCTCAGTACTGGTTGATTCCAGAATGGAATTCAGGAGTGTGTCTATAAGCTACAAAATCAAACTATAATAAATTATTTAGAAACTAAAGGTCAAGGTCACATTTGTAGGTCAGAAGAAAATGCTTAACGGGAACAAAACTACATGCATTGAAGGATTTGATACAATTTGGCACAAATTTCACCATTGTGAAGTGGAGTGTCACTTGCAAAATTCATGTCCATATGGCAAAGGTGAAGGTCACTATCAGAAGCCAAGGTCAAATAAATATAGGAAGATTTGTATTGAAAATAAACATGTTCGTGTTGACTTCAGTTTTTCCTTATGACCAGCAATTTTTTTTTAAAAGAATTGTATTGATTTTGTTCTTGATTTGTTTTCAGGCATGTTTTTGATTTTTTTAAAAATTGATCCTATCTAATTACATATGTTACAGAGACAGAGATCGTGATTCATATAGAGAAAGAGACCGTGAAAGGGATAGAGATAGGTAGGTTGTGTTTATTACATTTTATTACATGCTTCGCAGTGGAAAGTGAAATTATATTTGATAATTTTCACTGCAGCCAGACTATATTTGAATGCAGATGAAAATGATATCTCATAATCAATTGGAATTATCAACAGGAATAAATTCCGTCATATGTAAATTTTGGTTCTTTAGGAGAAGCAATTAAATAACTTTATACATTGTGTTAAAAATGTAACAAAATTCGAGAAAATTTACTTAACTAAATTTCAACATTTGGTATGGTTACATCATGATGTGATGATGTCATGAAGAAGAACGCATGACGTTACGTGGCAAAACAAGTAAAAATCACTTAAAAAACATAAAATGAATAGAAAATATGTAAGATTAAAATATATTGCACTCATAAACACCAGCTTATATATTTTCACGCTAAGCCACTTGTGAAAATATTGCATCTGGTGTCCACTCAGTGAAATACATGCAAAACAAATACCCTCTATATATTGAATACTTTTTAGGCCACTGTTTGTTGATTTCTCAGACCTGCCAACACTTAATTTTTGGGAAATAAAAAAAATAAAATTGAAATTTGTAAATTTGAATAAAAATATGTTTTAGACCGTAAATTTTATTGTCACATCAAAATTTGGTGGTGGTCAAAGCAGGACCCATGTAATACAATACAACCGATTGAGAAAAACAGGCAGCCCGGGTTTGAATCCACGGACGATGCAGGTCACTTTCCTTGTGATCATCTTTGACCATGAAATCTTTTCTATGATCATTTGCACTGTACCTGTGTTCTTGAATGTACAGAAGTTTCAGTTCCTTGCAAAAGCGAAGGCATTTTGTACAAGTAAACTGCTTGACAGCCTGCCAAGCTGAACTGCTCTCTGATAAAATCAGTGTGGCTTACCGCCATGATCAGAAATTAGCTTGTGTTCTTTACTTAGACTTGTACAGTTGTATTGTGTAGATATGGTTGATGGACTATTGATGATTATATTTACAGTGATGGAAGTGATGATTACAGATATTCTAGATCTTCTAAAGACTATACCAGGGAGTATGAAAGGTAAATCAGACAAATATTTTAGCATGTTTTCAAGTGTTTGTTTTTTGGTTGTCAATACTTCTGGGGTCCTTAAACAAACCAGTCAATAGAAAAGAAGGAAATTATTATTTAAACTTATTATGAAGTTATCATGGTATTTTTTTGTGATACAATCTTAACTGTCAACAAAGATCTATTTGACTATGAATAGTGCTACATGTGTTCCATAGATGTAAAATGTAACATTTTTGACATTTTTGTTTGATTTCCAAGGCTGATTCAGTATTATTATGTGTTTCACAGCAGGGATTACTACAGGAGTAGGGAAACAGAGAGGTCAAGGTCAGATAGAGACAGATCAAGGTCACGGGAACGTGACAGAAGACATAGAGACAGAGATAGGGATAGAGATGATAAAAAATCTAAAAGGTTTGTTACTCAGTAGTTAATATACAGGTACAAGCCGTTTTCAACTTTTAAAAATATACATGTTAAAAGTTGCATGGGGCTATGTATAGACAAAATCTTGCTTCATTGAAAAAATTCTTCCCGTTCTTGTGTATGTTGTTAGATGTTCAGCATAGGACTAGAAGAAGGTTACTGGCTATTTTAATAAAAAAAAACTATTGATAGTTTGCTCAAGTCATTTTACTTTGATTGATGGAGTTCTCATTGAGATATTAAATAATAATATTTATATGTATCTCATCCCGGACATTAGAAAGCCGATCATTTCAAACTGCCTACAATTCTATCTAACAGACTTGGGATGAATATTGATCTTTGACTTCTTATCACTTATCTTCTCTTCTCCAAAGCCTTCATTAAGCCTACTATAAATGTTTGATCAAGCATAGAATAACTGAACATATGATATCAAACTTAATACAAGTATGATATGAGCCGCGTCATGACAAAACCAACATAATGGGTTTGCGACCAGCATGGATCAAGACCAGCCTGCGCATCTGCGCAGTCTGATCAGGATTCATGCTGTTCGCTTACCAACTCTATTACAAGTAGAGAAACTGATAGCGAACAGCATGGATCCTGATCAGACTGGGCAGATGCACAGGCTGGTCTGGATCCATGCTGGTCGCAAACCCATTATGTTGGTTTTGTCATGACGCGGCTCATATTTGTGAATAAAATCATAAACATTCTTGCTTTTATACCTGTTTGATATTCTGAATAAGGTCCCCTGCTTTAACATTTATAACTGTATTTTAGAATTATAATATCTGTCATATTTTGCGGTTCGGATCGGAATATCCGTCCCGAGGTGACCTGCCCATTACGGCAAGCCTCGTTACCGCCCATGGGCGGGTGACCGAGGGACGGATATTCCGATCCGAACCGCAAACATATGTCAGATATTTTTTCTTGCATATTCTACCATATTCCATTATATTTTAAATTCTTTATCTTTATTTTCAATGAAAATTTATATCATTACAACCGTAACTACTTTCTTACAACAGTGTATGAATTACAAAATCATTCATAACGGTAAAATGACGTCATCTTTTCCGTGCCACTGTACAGCACGCGACTCATCTGGAACCCCCCATGCCAGATGAAATTTCCGGCATGGGTAAAACTAAAGGAAACGCCAGTCTGATGTGCAAGAAATGTTAGGGTTTAAGGATATATATCTACTGCCCATAATTTTCAAAATCATCATTTGATTTCGATGAAGAATACCTCCGCAGTACCTGTATAAAAGAAATATATTTGAATATTTACTTTAGAACTGCAAAATGGGAATGGGCGAAAATAATGTTAAACTGTTTAAACCTACTTAAAATAGTAGCATATTATTTTAGTTTGAAACTTTTTATTCTGTTTGCAATACAATATTTATGTATGTGATACAACTCTCTTTGAGAGTCAACGATAAAAATCATTGAAACACTATTACATTAATTACACATTTAAAAATTTTGTTATGATTTATCATTACATATAGCTTTATACCCTTTTAAAAGATTATATTTTGCATATTACAGGAAAGTTAAAGACGAACCAGATGATTCCGATTACTACAAATCATCGTCGTCATCGAAACACAAGAAATCTAAACGCTCCAAGCGAGATAAAGATGACGAGTCAGACAAACAGACGGACGACGGGACGTGATGTTTACCTACATGCAAAAAATTGTGTTCTTAATATAATGAATAGTTTGAAAACTTCATCAGTAAGTGTTTGTGACGGAACATGCTTGACATTGCTGGAGGAATTTTTTTTTTATAAATCTCGGCATAAGTTAAAATAGTAAAAGCTTGTGATGATTGTTTTGAATGAAAGATACTGGTATGAAATTTGTAAAGTTCAAGACATGTATTGTTACTGATAAAAACAATTTGTGTATTTCAAAAAAGGTATGGGCAGGCCCAAAAGGTTATAAAGAAATTCTCTAAGCTCAAACTCAGATCTCGGTATTTGAATTTTGATTGGTCAGAAACTGTTACAGAATGTACATTGACCAATGAAAAATCAGATTTAAGACAGAAATCTCAAAGAAGTTTTATAACCTTGAGGCCATATTTTCAAAAAGTTGTTTTAATGAAGGAATAGAAGGCAAGACATAATTACATATTTTTGATTTGTGCAGTCTGGCATAATTGTAAGAAAATTTAATGTACAAGTGTGTTTTAATTTTTGGTTTTAGCAGGTTTGTCGCAATTCTGGGCCATACCTAAAAAAGTTGGTTTGCAGTTGCGCGACCGACTCGATGAAATTGGCCGGGCTCAAAAAATGATTTTGACTCTCCGAGCATGCAATTCTTTTTCTTTTTTATCATAATATAATCATAAGAAAAAAAGAAAAAAATCCCAACCTACTGACTTGCTGTTCAAATTTGGGTCGCGCAGCTGCAAACCAGATCTTTTTGGTGATTGCCCTATGCCGTGATATTCAGACAAAGCGTTATGCACTTTAATGAATTTGCTGTAACCTGCATTGTTTTAGTTAAGTACATAGATGTTAAATTTCTGGAAGTTTACTCGACTGTTTTAATATTGAGTAAGAACATGTTATTAAAGAGTAGAGATCTGGGAGACAATGTTGTTAAAGTATTTTTAAAGAAAGAGAAATTGAAATCAGACAGTGTTATGTTACTGTTTAATTCTATGAATGGTAAAAAGTTATTAGGTATTGTAATAAAACTGAAATTGTGCATGATGATTTTTTCCTTCTTTTATTTAATCGAAGCATTTTGCTTTTTAAATCTTATCAGTTGATAGTTTTGTCCAGTAGATCTTGTTAAAGTGGTCAGGTTGGCTCCACTCTGGGGATCACATTGTTCTTCATGTAGTAAATAGTTAAAAATAAACTTTACCTACAAGTGAGGTCAAATATCTGTTTTCTGACTGTCAACTTTTTGTGGCGACATATAGGGCTTACTTTTGTCGGCGGTGTCGGCGTCACCTTAAGCTTGTCCAGAGCATAAGTCAGTCATTATAAGTTGGATTCACTTCAAGCTTGGTATGCATGCTTCTTATAATGACCTGAAGTGCAGTGCATGAGAACCAGTACTCTGCACTTCTTAATTTTTGAGTTATTGCCCTTTGTTAATTTTCATAGTTTATTTTTGTCCGAGCCATTTCTCCTAATGTATAAAAGCTATGGACTTGAAACTTCATAGGAAGATAAGAAGAAGTGCAGTGCACAAGAACCAGTACTCTGCATTTTTTTATTTTTTTGAGTTATTGCCCTTTGTTAATTTTCATACTTTATTTTTGTCTGGGCCATATCTCTTAAGTATTAAAGCTATGGACTTGAAACTTCATAGGATGATAGATCTCATTAAGAAGAAATGCAGTGCACAAGAACCAGTACTCTGCATTTCTTATTTTTTGAGTAATCACCCTTTGTTAATTTTTATACTTTATTTTTGTCTGGGCCATTTCTCCTAAAGTTTAAAAGCTATAGACTTGAAACTTCATAGGATGATAGATCTCATAAAGAAGTGCAGTGCACAAGATAAGGTACTCTGCATTTCTTATTTTTGGAGTAATTGCCCTTTGTTTATTTTCATACTTTTGTCTTTATTTTTATCCAGGCCATTTCTCATTATTTATAAAAGCTATGGACTTGAAACTTCATAAGATGATATATCTTATTGATAAGAAGTGCAATGCACAGAAACTGCTGCTCTTCACTTCTTTTTTTGAGTTATTGCCCTTTGTTAATTTTCATACTTTTTACATTAGCTTTAATGCCATTTTTTCTGAAACAAAAATGCCTAGATTGAAGATTTGGTGCTAAAGTACTACATGTACTCAGTAACTTTACGTGGATGGCAAGGAGACGATGTGAAGAAAACGGGTGTGGGCTTCTCAAGATAAAATTGACCCTGCCCGGGGATTACTTGATTTAAAACACATCTGAGACTTGTGTGAAACTAAGATGCTCAGACCTTAGATATTTTGGCATGTAACATCACTGTGGTCCACAAAATAACTGGCATTTATCATGCCCCTTGGACCAATATTGGTCTAGCTACGGGGGTCAATGTAGTTAATATTGTTGTGTATAGGAAAACTTATTTAAGTCTTATTTTGTATTTGACATGTAGAAATCATGACGCCGGGCAAAATTGATTTCTGTTTGAAGGCGTTGATTAGCTAAAGTTTATATAAAATTTTTAGGATAAATAACTATGCCTCTGTATTTGGAATTAAATCATTGCCTAGTAAATTCTTATTTCATGTTTTATGAAAACGTGTGCTTTGGGCAAAAAAAGCCCCCCCCCCCCCCCCACTTGGAGGTCGCTAGTATCATAAAGATACTACATTGTAGTAATTAGGATAAAAATTATTCAGAAAAGTTTCTTGATTGGGTCTCTACCCTAACTGAAAGATTATTTTTGATTACTGAAATATACATTCGGACGTATATTGCCTCGCCTTTGCGTAGCCCTTGTTTCATTTAATTTTGGATCACAGATTTGTTTATATCCTGTGTAAATGAAAGAATGAAGTACATTTATCACAGCTTGCAAAACCACCGAATTCAGAATTTAAGGACCGAATGACCTGTTGCTATCTAATTGTAGTTAAGCACTGTTTATATTGATCGCATACACACTTTAAAGGTTACATGTATATTAAAAGAAAATTAAATGCTATAAATTTTTGTGTTTTAAACGCTTTTTCTTTTTTGTGTCTTATACAGTATATATATTAGTTTTTGTGCTGTCATGTTTGTGTTACGTTATGTCTCACTCCATGTGTTATATTAACCTGTACATTATTTCAAAATGAATCTTAAAATCTCATTATAATTTCCGAAACTATACTGAATGGCCATGTATCTTGGCCATCTTTTATGTTTTTTTTTTGCATTTTGGCAATAAATACTACAGCCATTTAAAATGTACATGCGCGTTATTTACATTTTGCTACTGTAACCTTTATCACAAAATATATGAATATAGTACATTCAGCGCAATTTTCGTCAGGTTAAAATAAACGGGCTACATATTCTTGATCCATGATCGAAATATTGAGGAAAGTACATTTGTATATAGAGTATGAAAATACCATGTACTTTATGTACCACCTGTCAAGCATCTAAATTATAAAACCAACCTCAAACATAAATATTGTCTATAACTGACCCTATAGTATGACAGAGGTGAAAGCAGTGTAAAGTTAAATATTTGATGATACATGTATATAGGTTACGTGTGTAAAAATGATAATGGTTCGGGTTGAAAAAGCAGGACAATGCGTAAACTTATATAAATCAAGCATTACATGAAAAATGAAGTTTTTTTTATGAAATTGCGTAACAATGTTTCCACCACAAAAATATCCCTCTAACCCCCTAACCACCCCCCTCCCCAAAAAGGACAACGGCAACAACAAGACTTTTAGACAAGGCTTTTATATAAAATTTGAAACAAAAAAAAACTGTAGTTGATGTTTATAAAACTTCATTGACACTATTAAATGTATACATATATCGGGCAGAATAGTTTTTAATATCCTAAAACCATACCAAAGCACCTATAAGGAAAGATAATGTTGGCAAATTTCGACAAACCCTAGCCGACTCTTTCAATAAGTTTTCAAAAGAGCAAGAACTATAGTCTTTAATGGCGACAGTGTTTTATGACGTCATATGATGTCCATTTTTAATAGATGTTAACCTTGTGTCTGGAAACAACGTGATCATTATCAGCATCAGCACTATTATCAGAAAGGAAGAAAGAATAAAAGAAAGGATGAGTTAAACATTTGAGCCGTGTCACGACAAAACCAACATAATGGGTTTGCGACCAGCATGGATCTAGACCAGCTAGCGCATCCGCGCAGTCTGATCAGGATCCATGCTGTTCACTATCAGTTTCTCTACTTGTTATAGGGTTTGTAAGCGAACAGCATGGATCCTGATCAGACTGCGCGGATGGATCCATGCTGGTCGCAAACCCATTATGTTTGTTTTGTCGTGACGCGGCTCATTTCCTTTATCTTGAGTGAGTTCGTCATAATTAATTATATGTACGTAAATTAACACCTCTGTCATTATGGCAATACTTGAACTTTTAATACAGGAAAAAGGATAATCCTAAAACCACACCAAAAATCAATGTATATATCACAAAAGAAAAAGTGTTAGCGGCGTTAGAATAGTTGTCATGATCACAGCTCCCATCTTCTTTACTAATAGCATTTACGAGATCCGGAAATACGTGCAACCAGAAATTAGCCTCTTCCTCGTAGAAATACTGTCCTGCAGATGAGTTTGACATGGATTTCTCGAGCTTCAAGTAATCTCCAGTTTCAAGGTTGTATTCTGGCCAGTGTGGTGTTATAGCTGTCGGTCTGTTAGGGTCACTTTAGAAATACAAAACATACAAAGTATGATTGATGTTATGTATTCGAAGTTTAAATCAATTCTAGTATGTAGTCAATCTGACTAAAGCTCAGATCTACTTATATCTCTTCGCCGCGCCAACACAGTATAGTGTTCATATGGCGACCTTTCAGCTTTACTGGTTAAGGAAGGCCTCAGGTGCTCCTTAGCACGAACTGGCACCTGAATAGAACCACCGACGTTCCGTAATCTAGCTAGATAGCTTTCTGACATTAAAAAATTCGGAGATGCCTCCGCGAGTCGAACCTAGAGCGGCGAGAGGTAAGTGGTTTGAAGTCAACAACCTTTACCACTCGGTCACAGACGCCCTTTTAAAGGAGGTCCAATATATTACATGTATCTGATAAAAGGGTAAATGAAACGAATACTTTATATCATAAGGACATAAGTGGTAATTTAAATCCTTTGTTAAAATAGAGAAACTGATGACTTATAATGTGTACTGAATGTAAATATAACCGGGTTATTCAAATAGAAATATATATATAACAGTCATTGAAACTTTAGTTACGCAATATCTTCGCAGCACAATTGTGCGCATGCAATGAAAAACGAAGTAATATTACTTGGGACCATATTCGACTAGTTGTTTAAACCATATCTTCATTGTGCATTGTCCTTTAATACGGTTCATTACATTCGATAATTTAAAGATATTTATTTTTTATAATAATTGTCAGTGGCCGGAGGGACTGGTTATATATCAACAGAAAGATTTATAAAGTGCTGACAAAAAGAAGCGAAGTGTTGAATATAATATGGTAAGCTTGACAATAGACTCACCCTGACTTTATAAAGTTGGTCCAGTACGTCACCATATTTGTGAGAAGTACTAATTCCCAGGCATTTTCTTCTCCAACACCAACCTTTTCAGTACTTCCAAACATAAATGGTACTTCGTCAGCATGGGTTGAACCGGGAAGCCAGCTTGGCATTGGTAGCCGACGATAAGATGGGTTTGGTGTAAAATGGTACATGAAGTTTCGAGATGACGTTGATTGTTTGTGCAGACGAGATATCTCTATCGCAGGTACACAGAAAGATCCATCACCTATTATTTTGACCAGTTGTAATCGAATGTTGTCACTGTCAGACGGATTGGTCCAGGTCGTATGTTGGGCTTCAACAAGTTTTGTTATTTCATTTTGGAATGTCTGCTTCTTGTATAGGTAACTCAAAGCATTGGTGACAAGTTGATTTGACATCTCTTCCCGTGAAGGAGTAAAATCTTTAATTTGATTGGTTAGTAACATAAATGGAAGAAAAAACACTCCTTCGTAAGCATTAAATCCACTCAAGATATCCAAAGACCGGAAAAACTCTACTTCATTTAATCTTTCACTTTCAGATAGTCTCGAAATATGTTGAGGATTAATTTTCAAAAAATCGTCATCAATAATCGGACTAAAATTAAGTGAAAATGCAATGGGACTGATACCTGACAATAAATCTTCAACACTTTTTCCTCTCAAACAGGCAACAATATCGGATATGTCATCTTCCAAACATCCTACAGTGGTTGCTATCAGTTTAAAGTCACTTTTCACATCTTTTTCCATGTCATTTACTGGCATGGAAATGCTACCGCTCTGTGTTATGATCCGTTGAAAAAGTCCGTGGTTGTCTGGCATAAATCCTTGTAGCATAGTGCTGATCGCTCCTGCAGATCCCCCAACTACAGTCACCCGGCCCTTGTCTCCCCCGAAACTTTCTATATGTGTATGTACCCATTGCAAAGCCATACGCTGATCCCAAAGTCCAGCATTTCCAGGTACTGTTTTATCACCAGTGCTGAGAAATCCAAACAAACCAAGTCTGTAATTGATAGTTACAACAATAACGTTTCCATATGCAGCAATGAAACTTCCGTCATATTGACTTCCAGCTCCCTCTCGAAATCCTCCTCCGTGAATCCAAACCATGACGGCATGGCCAGATGGTTTATCTGAAGGTTGATCGGGCACGTACACATTCAGAAACAGACAATCTTCACTCATAGTAACAGCGATAGGACCAAACGTTGACTGTGGGCACATGGCTCCGTGGCTTTTAGCATCATAAGGTGCGATTAAATTTGACAGCACTTCTGGTTTAAGAAATCGCCTCTCACCAACAGGAGCTTTTGCATATGGAATGCCCAAATATTGATGAACATCCTTGTATGGTAATAAATCCAAAGGCAAAGTTGTTGTTTTTCCAATTATTTCTCCTAATTCAGTTGTAACAACAGGATCTGAAGAACTGACCAAAATAGCAATTCCCATGAAAAACAAAATCTTTAGCGTAACCCTCTCCATTATCCCGTAATAGTTTAAGCAGAATGCCCGCTATATCCACTATCTCAAGCTTTAGTGCAGTGTACTTAACACGGAATAAATCAAGCATGAAGTAAATTTACAACTGACCTTATATAAAAAATATTTGATATCTACCTCTTAATATTTTAACCCAAACAAAATCTAGAACATCGATTATTTGATTAATATAGCTCGAATTTGCTATTCCTTTCATCGACCTATTGACTTGTAGTCTAGGTTTTCGATAATTCGTGTAAAATATATTTATATCCCCTTAATTTTTCATAACCTGAACCATTACTCATTTAATTATACCCAATTCACTGTATCACTTCATTATAACGCAGTGGTAAATTGCTATGGAGGCTATTTGATGCCAAAAATCCAGCATTGTTGATCTGAGTTGAACAGTTTGTTAATGGACAAAATACAATTACAAGTACTTCTTTGTATGTAAACTCCAATGTTGCATTCTTGGATTGAGTTTGCCGATTTAATACTGTAAATATGCATTTCAACAAAATACATTTTGTTAAACGACAAAACTGTTTTGCTGATAGTAGCAATACCAAGTGTTCGAATACTCATTGTTCGTGTATGTATACGCCGACAAAACAGAAGTTACTTTCTTAGCTTTACATTGCCGAACCATCATGATTCCTATCAGCAAAATCCAGCTTTACACGTTTTTCAAAAGGAGACTACATCATCGTAAGTAAACGTATTTATCCGCTCATTTTCGGTATTTACCGTCGGCGACAAAAAGCGGCGTAGTTTCCGTTTACCACACCCCATTCTATGTCTTTATACAATCAACATCAGCGGACTTTAAAGGATTATAAGTTTTAAAACGATGTAGATACCACATTTCCTAGAAAAGAAAAAAACTAAAAAAAATAATAAAAAACACACCAGGTTACTTACAGCCTGGGGTTAAATATTTTTCAAGGAAGTAAAATCTATTGATAAGACTATATTCAACAACAAATAAGTTTTACTTTTACAGTTAAGCTGCTACCATACCACTTTCAAATTTTCAAGTCAACATCTGTCCAAATTCTGTTTGTTCTCTTTCCTAGTAGTAGCATTAAATTTTACTATTACATTCAATTAAGTAACCTTAATTCTAGCGTATAACTGGACGACAACAAACTTTTAACAATAGTAAAATTATAACCAAAGTTGTATGTACCCTTTCGTACATAACTTTTTATTTTTTCAATACTGTATAGATATATTTTCCCATTTTTCATGATTTAGATATGCTTAAAAGTATTCATGTGTAACGTTTGAAGGCACACAAACCCTATCGTTCACAAACCCTATCGTTCGTGGAAACACAGAGTGGTGTGTGTCATTATACATGGGAAACATTCCCTTATGTTTATTCACCAACTTAAGTTTTTGGATATTTATATGCTCATTATCAGTAAAAACGTTGTTATATTGTTATATTATATCTTAACCAATTTTGCATTACTTGAATATCCTGTACTAGAATACGTTTATCATGCCTCTATTATGATTTTGCATCTTATTTTTTTTTTAATTCGGGGCGCTAATTTCTGAAAGTAAGGTAACCACAAGAGGGTTATACGCCAAAAAAGTAGTCCGAGGGTTTTTACCAATAATTTTATAACACAACACAATTTTAGGTACAATTTGCTTTAACAATTTATTTACTTGTATTATCATAAATATTCAGCAAAGTCAATTAAACAATACCAACAATAAACATCATCAGTGCTGATCTGGCGTAGGAACATAGTGTTCTCAAGTCACTGACTGAGAAAGGTTGCTGTTCTCAGACAGGCTTTATCAGGCAGTTGTCATAGAAATGGCATGATAAAATAAGAACGGCGAGTGCATTGTTGTAGAATAATGCACGCTTCGGGCCTCCTTTGTTTATATAGAAACATTTCCGATAGTGTGATTAAAGGTAGTTTGCCTAATAAAATTCTTTAAAAAAAAAAACGGTGACAGGATAAATAGAATAATAGATTGGTGCCGTGGATGGAGAAAGTTTATCAGACTGGCTCTGCTCCGGAATTTATTGGGTTCGCCTTCGGCTCACTCAATAAATTCCTCCGCCTCGCCAGATAAACTTTCTCCATCCACGGCACCAACCTATTATTCTCTATTTACAATCAAAGTCAACTGTAGGCCTAATGCAGTTGATGTATGTGAAGTTTATAACAGTTTCAATATACATGTAATTTGAAATATTATTGTATCAGCAAGATTACCTCTCTTTATATTCTGCTTTCGTGAAAATTGGCTCCCCCTATTAATTTTCGTCTATTTCCGTGATAATTCCATATATGGAAGTTGCAAAAATTTTTACAAATGTTAATCGCGTTAGAATGTAAAAGGAAAGTGTGGTGTTGGTCAAGTTGATGCAGTTACATTCTCATACAGCATTAAACGTATTGTGTACGTTCTATCATGTCGCAAATTTAAAGTTATACATTTATAAATACAGTTTGCAATTTATCTAAGTTGCATGTTTACTGCTTCAATTTTATCAAATCGAGATAATCAAAATGCTTAATACCAGTGCAGTTTGTAACTCTCAGATCGACTATTAGATTTTTACTAATCTGTTTAGTAGAACCGAAGTATGCATTGTCAAGTTTCAAACAACGAACAGCCTCCATAAATTGCTAGCTACGGGAGTGTAGAGATGCTGGTTTGAAACCTGGAAGAGGCATTTAAAAATTTTAATGGTATTTTCCTTTTAAGATATTTTTAACTAACTAGAATTTCACACAAGGCTATTTCAAACATTACGTTTTAAACATATTCGTATTCAACAGAGTTAAAGCCTAATGAATAATAAGCAACAGTAGACAATATACATATATATTATCAAAAAATTGCATTAAGCAATGTATTGTATATATATTATGCAGTATCGTACGTGCTTATAATTAACTCGAGGGACGGTGGCTTAATGGTTAAATTGTCTGCCTCTCAACCCAGAGATCATGCATGCGTCCAAGCCCTAATCGGGTCACGATCATGATTCCAAATATAACACAAGTACTGGCAAGGTCCGGGAAGCAGACTCGAAATTGATTAACACCATGTAATGTTGTGTGATTTTGTATTTAAGTATATCACAAGTAGACAACGTATAACTCTAATGAGAAATAAGACACAAGTGTGTTCTATGACTACAAGATGAACTCTTAATAAGAACTGTTGTACATGTAATACCTTCCAAGCATGCGCATCTATACATTTATATAATTACAAGAACTTGTTTGGCGATCGAGCTAAAATGAATATGTTTAAACTTATCATCTCGGGAATATTACTCTAAATAAAAAAAATCTTCAGTCTTGTATAATGAAGAAAAATAAAAATTCTACAAAACAACAATATTTCTTCAAAATGTTAGGACATGTTTCAAAACGGGAAAAACGCGACTTGGGGTAATTTCAGGTATTTTCATCATTTTCTGTTAACCCATTACCAGATACATTTTGTATATACGCCTTTCTAAGCTTTTTTCACCTCCACCCTTTTTGTTGTCTCGAATGGTGAAAAAATGCCTTATTTAGGCCCCCAACACATATTTATGTTTGAGAAATGTTGTTTAAATAAGTGACCACTTTTCGGCGCCGCCCCTATCCAAAAGATACATCAGGTGGTTACCAGAAGAGGTTACCAGAAGGGGGATGTGCCCCCTTCTGTTCTTTTTTTTTTGGGGGGGGGGGGTCTGAAGGGGGCGGCAGTCCCCCTCGATCATCGCGCAGAAAATTAAATTTTGGACTTGTGAGAGCCAGGTCGATCATAAGGTAACGTGTACCAACGCTGAAAAGCATTTGACTCTATCTCAATCAACTGGGAAGTTGCATCACTTTGAAATAAATTTTGATGGAAAAAAATCAGCACAAAATAGTGATTTTGTGCAATTTTGAAATGTCCCCTAGTTGCAATGGTAACAGAAAATTTAAGACTGAACATGTTGTTACAAAGTTAATGGTCGAGTCAACATTTGTGCCAAGTGTGATTAGTATTGAAGCAGTTTTTACAGTTTTATAAACTTGAACTTGTAACGGGAGACTTTTCAATGAAAATAGCCATTTTTCACAAAATGCTCATGCGGTAATGGGTTAAATTAAAATTTCGAGTAAGCCTCTTTTCAGTTCTTAAAGGGTAGGTTTATGTTTTATTAAAAACTGTGTGAACAGTTACCGCTCATTTTCTCTTTTTGTATCGCCTCTACGTGGCGACATATCTAGGGATCACTTCTCCGTCGTCTGTCTGTCTCCCCGTCTATCCGTCCGTCCGTCACAAAACTTGTCCGGACTACTCCTCAGAAACTACTGGTACAATTTCTTCCAACTTTACTGGAATGATCAGTACTAAGTCTAGTTGTGCATATCGTCGGCATTTTCCGGTTTAAATGATTTTGTCAGAGTTATGGCCCTTTAATGATTTTTATGACCCTGAGGAATTCGAGGATGGATAGCTCAGTCGGTATATATAGAGTCACGGAACATTATCAACTTAGAAACAACATATATTGAATGCAGTTCTTCCACGTGAAACAGAAACATATTTAAAACTTGTACAGAGTACAGAAGTTACATACATTGAGTAATAATTCATCAATCATTATCAAAACAATGGTACACCTTTTTGAAGATTATGTTTCAAATGACAAATAATTGGTGTAATCAGAACGCAACACTATTATTCCTTTATTAGCCGAACGCCAACACAAACAGAAAACGTGAATGTAAATTAATATATGCAGCATATGTACAAAATGATATGTCGGCACGGCACCTATCAAACATATTTCATACCTGACTTCATACATTCTTATATCTATAAAAACGGTGTTGCTGCTGGTAAATAATATTGGAGAACATTGTACAAACCATCCTGCATATGTCAAACGTATAAATATAGTATAAGATACTATTAATCTTAAAATGCTAACAGGTCGTTGTATGCCGAGTGCAACTTTATGAATGTTCTCTACTTACTTTACTTTACTTTACTTACTTACTTACGTACGTACGTACTTTCGTACTTACGTACTTACTCTACTCTACTTACGTTACTTACTTGACTCGACTCGAATCGACTCCACCCACTTACTGCCCATTACGCCCTCTGGCGTGTCTGAGGTGCATTCCACCTTTGTCGGTTTAATGTTCTCTAATATACTGTTTTATTGAAAGAAAAAAATACCACCTAATGTAATATTGTAGTTAATGTACATAGACGAAAAACAAAGTCGAAATTAAGTAGTACATACATGTATTTAAAGGCACATTAG